TGCATTAATAATGATTAAATCGCAACCAAGCAAGCACTAACATAATGACACATTCTCCAAAGAAAGCTGGGAAAGGGTTTTCAGCAACAGCTCTGTGTGCCACCAGGTGATTTCAACCATACCTAGGCACTGTTCTAAATGCTTTCCTTGAATCTATTCTCTGACCCTTAACAGAAAGGGCATTGACTTCACAGCCTACAAGGAAACTAAGATAACAAGTGGCTTCGTAACCAGCTCAGCAGTCAGGTTATAATAGAGCTGGAATTTGAACCGAGGCTTCAAATCCCAGTCTTTATTTTTTTCTCTCCCCGATACAGGGTTTCACAGCAATCTACAAAACAGTCAGGGGACACTAACAACTTCAGTAATTATAGGTAGATAAACTAGAATAAAAATACTCAAGGGATTGTCACTGCTTAATTTAAATATGCCTAAACTTCAAATGTCACCTTTCAGATGGCACAGAAAAGTATCTCCTGCTCAAATATTCAAGGAACATTTTTTTAATGATTTTCTTTTATGTGCACTGGTGTTTTACCTACATGTATGTCTGTGTAAGTATGTTGGATCCCTTGGAATTAGAGTTACAGAAAGCTGTGAGCTGCCATGGGGGTGCTGGGAATTGAACTTGGGTCCTCTGGAAGAACAGTCAGTGCTCTTAACCACTAAGTCATCTCTCCAGCCCTTCACGGAGCATATTTTAAAATGGGCTTTATGTAAGGATTTATATATTACATAAGTTAAGCAAATTCCATCCAAAAGAGAGTTTCTTTCTTTCTTTCTTTCTTTTTTCTTTTTTCCCCAACGCAGGGTTTCTCTGTATTGCTTTGGAGCCTGTCCTGAAACTTGATCTGTAGACCAGGCTGGCCTTGAACTCACAAAGATCCACCTGCCTCTGCCTACCAAGTGCTGGTATTAAAGGCGTGTGCCACCAATGCTAGGCTTCAAAAGAAAGTTTGTAGAGACAACACAATCTTTAAAAATTTATTCTAGCAGGGAGTGGTAATACACACCTTTCACCCCAGCACTCCAGAAGCAGGTAGATCTCTGTAAGTTTCAGGCCAGACTGGTCTATATGATGAATTTCAGACCAGCTGGGAGAGAGTTATCTATGAAACAACAACAAAAACAACCAAAAAACAAAAAAGCCTTCAAACAAACAAACAAGTTTACTTTAGGTGTTGAGGTTTACCTAGCAGCCGAGCCCATGATAGTTGGCACAAGGCTCTGGGTTCAATCCTAGCACCAACCCCCAAACAAGTTTACTCTACAAAATACTTGCACAGCTCTGTGAAAGCAATTATCAACTATAAGAACCACAATGAAGTTATGATTGCTTCAGTGCATCTGGTTTCCCAGGTTTGCTAATCTAGAGTTCACTTCCAAATGCAAAAGAGATTCACCAAGAGCACTCAAGGATGGCAGCGGCACCACCACTCCATACAGCTTTTCCCAGCAGGGGAAACCAAATGGGTCTGTGGAGTCAGTGTAAGCAACAGTTCAGAACAAAGCATTTATTCTTCTACAATGGCTGTTTACCTAGAATGACAGAGAAATGACCTTGCATGTGAAAATTAATAAATAAAATAGAATAGCTCAGGAAGGAGGAAAGAAAAGAAACAGCTTTGCCGGGTGGTGGTGGTGCACACCTTTAATCCCAGCACTCGGGAGGCAGAGGCAGGGGGGTCTCTGTGAGTCTGAGACCAGCTTGGTCTACAAGAGCTAGTTCTAGGACAGCCTCCAAAGCCACAGAGAAAGCCTGTCTTGAAAAACAAACAAACAAACAAAAGAAAAAGAAAAAGAAAAGAAAAGAAAAGAAACAGCTTTCCCCTAAGCATTGGCAACATCGGTAAGAGACATGTTACAGGGATCCCGTCATTTCCACTTAAATGATGACATTTCACAATACCTGATACAACTGATTGTGAACTGAGAATATTCTGGAAAACATACATAATTTTCTTTCCTTAATACATCTTGCTGAACAATTTTTAAAAATTTTATTTGTGACAGGATCTTACTATGTAGTCCAACCCAGATTGAAATTGAACTCAGCATCCTTCCACCTCAGCCTCGAAAGCACTGTAATCACTCCTTGGCTTTCCCTGTGAATCTCACTGGGCAATTTGTTTCCCCACAATTTATAAGATTAAAGAAGCAGGGTATCATAGACATACAACAACATCCCTCTTCCACACATAAGAAAACAGTGTTGTGCAAACCAGGCTATTACCAAAGTTCACCAGGATGCCTGAGGACAACTTCAGAGGAATGGAAAGAACACTTAGATCTCAAGTCTAGTTCAGGCTCTGGCATTACTTACTTCACAAGTTCTCAGGCTATCCAGTCACCCTCTCTATTAAATGAGAGGCACTCACTATGCATTCACAAGAGCTAACTACAATTCTAAATCTTGGTTTCAGTAAATAATGAGAATTCTTACTTAATGCAAGCAAAGGCAGGCTATTTCTAATGATTAGCCATTAACACACAAGCACCAAAAACTTCAGTGTTTTCTGTACTTGGAAATTCCCAGCTGACAATACATGATGACCAAGAAAGGTCAGAATTAAACTCTCAAATGCAAAGCTATGCTCACCTTCCAGCCACTTACTTATTAACTAAGGTGACTAACTTCAGGCTACTCTTGGCTAGCTTTCTTGTGTTCAAAAATAGGGCAAAGACTATCATCATAAATATGAGTAACAATATATTCAAAGTAACATTATTCTACACTTTAGTATTTCTAGTTCTCTGAATAAAAACACCGTACTTGAATTTACACAGTGATTTCACATGCACCATCTTACTAAACACTGTGACAGTCATATGAGATAGGATGAGTCCTTCTATTCACACAGTCAAGAGTAGCTCTGAAGGATAATTTGTCAGTCATTACTGAGTAAGTGTTGGAGCCCAGACTTTAATCCAGGTCATTCAATTTAAAATTTAATGATCTTTATGAGTGCAGTGGCCTTTAACCTCATGAGGCAGAGGCAGGTGGATCTCTGTGAGTTTGAGGCTGTCCAGGGCTATAGAGTAAGACCTTGTCTCAAAATCCTAAAAAATGTTGATTTGAGCCAAAGTTAGGAAGACGAAAGAAAGGATAACACAAGGAACAGAATGTAAAGAAGGATTTAGGTTGGGTGTGGTGGAGCATCCCTTTAATCCCAGCACTCAGGAAGCAGAGGCAGGAGGTTTGTTGTGAGTCCAAGGACAGCCAGAGCTACATATTAAGACTTTGGCTCAAGCAACAAGAAGAAATAAAAAACAAGGGAAGGAAAAGAAAGAAAAAACTTTGGTAGTTGTAGAATCAGTAAGTAAATTAACTACATTTTAAAATTATTGATATATCAAACTTAAATTTCACTTGTCAAAAACTTATCACCTTATTTCAAAGACAAGTGTAAAACAGTTTGCTAACTCAAAAAAAAATAAGAATAATATGAGAACAGATTAAACTAGCTGTAGGTAAATTGGTAAACAGCATCAAAGCATTTGCTAGAGTAGTTCAGATATGTGTTTATATGTATATTTTCTTCTGGAATGTGTACCTCAGGGATTTAACTGTATTACTAAATGTAGCTAAGAAATACAGCCCTAAAAAATGCATCTGTGTTTAGCAAACAAGCTAAACAGGAGAAATACCACTTTAGAATCATTTTGCACCTTTACAAACTGGTCATATTTGTATGGGGTAGCAACGGTCAATAAAAACAAAACCTTCATACACAAAATATTGCCCAGCAAGTAAGCTTCTCCCCTAAAATCAGACCCAATAATAACATAATTCATAGATAATAAAGGTTGGAATATAGCCGGGCCCAGAACGTTGGAGGCAGAGGCAAACGGACGGATCTCTGAGTTCAAGTCAGCCTGGTCTACACAGAGAAATCCTGTCTCGAAAAAAGTTAACAAAACAGTTGGAATATTAAATTCTTCATTACACCAAGAGAAACACCGGGAGAACTTCTCTAAATGATCAGTTTGTCTACAAACATCAAGGAAGAACTGAAAGTCAAGACATATACTGCCAATATACATGCACAACGCCAACCAATGCATTATTAGTTTTTTGATGGAGTAGAAGAAAAACAAAAGGTGGCTATGTAAAACCACCTGGAGGTCTTAAGTAACCTAACAAAGATTTTTAAGTCAACCATCCTGTCTTGCTGCAAGTACTCCCTCTGCAGTGAAATACAAATGTTGGGGATTAGGGGTTTGGAAAGGGCAGAGAACCCTCTTTTCTTAATGACAGCTGGAGGAAGAGCCAAGGTCCACAGTAAGGGCTCTGAGAAATGAAGGCCCCCTTCCTCTGGCAACTCTGTACCGTCAGGACACCCCCATGTCTGCACTTCATAGAGATACATTTGGCATAATGCGCTAGCGGCTGACGAGGAGAAACACACCGAAAGGTCCTGGAAACCAGCTCGGTCATCAGCAGCGAACACCTTCTTCATTTAAACCAAGGTTCTGGACACCCCGGGAAGAGGGTGCTTGGTAGAAGCTAAGGAAAGCTTCCAAGTCTGGAACGAGCGGTCGGGAGTGTCTGGGCTCGGTGTCCCGGTAACCAACCGCGGAGAGGTGTCCCAAATAACCTGGCTACCGCCAGGCTGACAGCCTGTCAGCAGTGACCTGAAACGCTCCTCAAGTGGAAAACAGCGTGTTCTGTATCTGCACCGCCCAAGTGTGAGAGCCACGGAAGAAGCCGGGCTGTGGAGAGCCTCGGCTTGCGCCCCCGACTCCCCGCTTTCGCCTACCTACCCGCTCAGACCCCGGCTTCTCCGGATCTCAGGATCCTGGAAGCGGCTCTCAGCACCGACTCTCACACCCGCCGCTGGGCTCCGGCCAACCGGAACCCACTGCGTCACTTCCGGTCCGGTCCCCCAAGGAGCCCGCCTCCGAAAGAGAAATGTTCCACCTTCCTTTTGGCAACCCGAGAGGATCCTCGCGGGATTTCAGTTCGGCTTTCTCAGTTCGGGCCCTGTGGGTGTGACAAGAGGAAGAATGACTGCGCTTTGTAGTTCCTGATCCGGAACTAGTTTTTCTGGACACCCGGAAGAAGTAGGTGGCGCGCGAAGCGTGTTCCTTGTTCGGGAGTGGAGAACCACAAGGTGTGAGCCGCAAGCGCTACAGGTAAGTCTCGGTCCCTTCCAGGACGATGGAGAGGAGTGTAGTACTTTCGGTCTCTACCGGAAGGTATCTTACCATCTTATCCCACTGAGTTGGGCCCCTTTTAGCGACTTCGTAAGCTGTCTTCCACCCAGTGGCCGCTGGAAGTCTTGCCCTGTCTGCAAACCTTCCTCTGGAAGAAGAAACCAAGATGCTGGGAAGGGATAGAACCCAGAATTTTAGTGTCTAGCAAAGCCCCCTCTTTTAGGTGGCATTGATACGCTGTGTTAGTATGAGAAAATGGAGAGCAGGCCTCACACTGTAAATACTGAATGTCCGTTTTCGAGGCGTTCAGCCTTGCTCCGACTGGGAAAGAATTCTATCAAAAGTATTTCTGTTTATTGGTATTGTGGCCTTGTGCATGCTCGGCAAAGCGCTCTACCATGGGGCTGTTGTTAATCCCAAGGGTGGGAGGAGAAAGACCACGGACCCATATCATGGCCAAATTAATTAAAGCAAGCTCTTTTTATTCCTGCACATGGGCTGTCCCTCCCTAGTGGAGTGGTTTCAAGAGATCTACATTGGACATGGGGAAGATAAGGGGCTTCATAGTTCAGGAGTAGAGGTTTTCCAAATGGGGGATTTGGCAGGCAAAAAGGCCAGGTTACAAAGGCAGAACATAAGTATAAGCAAGTTGATCATAACAACTTCCTGAAACAAAGGCATGGTTGCTGTTTCCAGGAACAGGCAAGTACAGAACCTTTTGTAGTTAAGGTTATGGGGGGGCGGCATGGCGAAATCCTTGAGAAACAAATTTAACAATAAACAGTAACGAATATAGTTTGTTTTTACTATGAGATGGTTTTCAAGCCTAAGATGGAGGCAGGCTGGTTTATCATCATTTGTCACCAAGCTTCCCAGTCTAGTCTTGAACTTGGGATGCTCCTCCTTTAATCACCTCCCTTAAAGATTGGAGTTATCAAAATTAAAAGGTTTTGATATGAAATAGTTAAGACCCTGTAGGTAGAATTAGTGGGGATAGGCCTACAGCAATAAATACAACAGTATTTGGGTGACCGATGGATAGTACATAGGTTATAGGAGGGATAGTACAGGCTCTCTTTTTTTTTTCCTCCCCTTTAATTGTTTATTTCTTTAGTTTGGTTTTTTTGAGACAGGATTTCTGTGTAGCTTTTGAAGGCTGCCCTGGATCTTGCTCTGTACACCAGGCTGGCCTCAAACTCATAGAGGTCTGCTTGCCTCTGCCTCCCTCATGCAGGGATCAAAGGCATACACCACCACTGCCCTGACAGGTTTTCTTAAAAATCAATACACAAGCCCCATGGAGGTGGCACAGACCTTTAATCCCAGCACTTAGGGGGCAGAGGCTGATGGATCTCAGAGTTTGAGGCCAGTCTTGTCTATAAAGTGAGTTCTAGGACAGCCAGGGCTATACGGAGAAACCCTGTCTCTAAAAAATGAAAAAGAACAAACAGAAGATGGAATGTTCAGTACCCTGGGTCTGATGATCAGCAAAAAGAACTCAATCCGAACAAAAATAAACAATACTTGAAATCTAACAGAAATTGGAGGCCCACATTGGGAGCCAAAGCACCCTGTACATGGGTGTCTCTTTTTCTCCTAACCCTAGAACTCAAAGTCTATTTTTAATAAAATCTCCAACTGTTTCTGAAATTCTCTTTCTGTGCTGAAACCACAATTCCCAGTTTTGCTTGAGTTGAGCTCCCTAAAAGATGAAAAGAAAAAACTCCTGAGAGCAACAGTGTGGAGCAGCTGTCTCCCTTCTTTCATCACAGACAACCTGACAGACTTTATTGCCTGTCAAGGCCAACTAGAAGCAGGGAGAAGTCCCATTTGTTTTGAGAGCTGTCTCTTGAGGCTTTGCAACAAACAGTGCCTGAACATAGTCTTCAGAGAGCACTGGTTGGTTGGTTGGTCCATCCATCCATCAATTGATTGAAGAGGATTGCAAAAGAGCTTAGAGACTGAGCTTCCATCCCCCCACCCTTCTTTGGGATAGGGTTACTTTATTGTAATTCCTACCTGACCCCAAACATACATGAGGCTATCACAAAATGGGTCAACTTGTCTGGTCTTACAGGTTTCTTCAGTGATAACAGTGCCATCCCAGTTTGATAGAGTAGTCACTAATCACTTTCAAACTGTTGAATAAGAATTTGAATTTTGGCTTAGCATAACCTTAGAACTGAATATTTAGCCATAAGTTAAATGTACTTAGCTATATGGCATTAGTGACTACCATATTGGACAGCTTAGTAAGATTGGACAACTATGTAAGATTGCAGCTATATAAGATTGTATAATGCTACCCATATTTCCAGGCAAATAGCAGGTAGTTTTGCTTAGGATACTGTAAAATTGTCAGATAGGTAAGGTGAGCATTAGGTCAAAGTTGGGTTAAGTAATTCAAAGAGGAAGGTTTAAGGTTTTAAAAGTCACCAGGGAGTGGCGAACAAAATTCAGTGAGACCCATAAGAAAGAACTGTGGTGACAATGACAACTGTCTGGTTCTTTGAGACAGGGTATCACTGTGTAGCCTTGGCTGTCCTTGAATGTGCTCTGTAGACCAGGCTGTTTTTGAACTCAGAGATCCACATGCCTTTGAGTGTACCAGCACCACCTGACTCTTGAACACTTCTGATAGAGTGTGGGAAGAGAGGCACCAATACACAGTGATTAGGAGGAGCAGGTAATTGAGATTGGAAGTGAAAGTGGAAATGCCATGGTGGGTCAAAAATTTTAGGAAAGGGTTTTTTTAGGTTGGAAAATGTAAGAACCAGTGGAGTAGATTATTGCATTGAGCACGGCTTTGGAGGTTATCTGGAGCAAGAAGCCTGATAAAACACGCTTGGTGAAGCAGACTAATTAGAAGGCCCCTAGGAGAAGGGTTTATGGACATACTTATTTTACTGTGCTGTTAAAGGTTGTCTGTGAGACTGACTATGAGCAATGTCAAGCTCTGAGCTTATTGGTTGGTTTATATTGAGGATGCAGAGAAAGAGACTGAAACACCTTTAGAGGTGTTAGTCTGATTGGGGTGACATGAGATTAGAACAGCCTAAGTTTATTAGTGACCTCATGGAGGTGTAGGAATAAGAAATATGGAAATCTTTCTCTGTAGGTGGAGTTTCACAATAACCACACTGAGCTGCTTCACAGTTACCACACTGAGCCTTAATATTAATTATAAATGCTCAGCCATTAGCTCAGGTATGTTACTAACTAGCTTTTACAACTTGACCCATTTCTGTTAATCTGTGCTGCCCTGAGGCTCATGGCTTTTTCCTTTATCCCATTTTGTGTGTCCAAGTTGTTCTTTGTCTGGTGACTCCTCTGATCCCGCCCTTCCTCATCCCAGCATTCTCATTTTGGCTTTCCTGTCTAACTTTATCCTGTTCAGCTATTGGCCAGTCAGCTTGTTTATTAAACCAATTACAGCAATATATAGTCACACAGTGTACTGTACAGAAGGATTATTCCTCAACATTTCCCTCCTCCTTTTTGTCTAGCTAAAAAGTAAGGTTTTAACTTTAACATAGTAAAATGATACATATCAAAAACAGTTATGAAGAATTACAGTTACAACAGCCAATCCTATTTGTATTTGGCAAAATTAGAAAAAATACTCTATTGATTGGTGAGTATAAAGTTTTACATCTAATTTACCTTTTAGTATAATTAAGGAAAACTATAATTATAACTATCTAGTCTATAACTCCATCAAAGACCCCAGAAGGGTGAAATGTTACATAGTGACAGAGACATCAGGCTGCCTGGACAGTCATCCAGAATTCCATTGTAACATTGGGCATTCAACTCAGGCATGTAGGCCTACCATAGCTGACAGACTTTCCTGTAAAGCAGGGATTCTGAAGGACTGTCCTACCTTGTCTTGGCAACGTTCTGCAGTTGTTTTTTTACATCATGCTAGTCCGTTTTAGACAATATACTGTCAGAAATTAAGGCAAGGGCAGTTTCTTTGCCCACGTGGCTAGCTTTTGCCAAAAAGAAAACTAATTCCATCTCTGAAGTAGATTGGTGCTGCCAGGAGTAAATGTGTTTCACTGTCATAAAAAGCCTTAGGTTATTAAACATATTAAATGCCATATTCTGTACTGTCTTTGGAATGTTTGAAAACCGTCTATCTAGTATATCTGTTTATGACCTTGAAAACATATCAAGTATGACTATAAGTTTGACTATTATAGATGACTATTAATTTGTATTTCTTAATTATACATTACATTTTTAAATGAGCTGCATAAACACAATATTCCAAGAGTATAACAAAATTAACATTAAATTTGTATCACTATATAAAAATCCATACCAATGTAAAATATTTAAGACTAGAAATTGCTTTTTTAGTTTAAAAGTAGATTCAATAATTACTGTTTTTATCCTATCATTTCTGTATCCCCCTTTTTTCTTTGCAGAAAGAGATCTTTGAATCTACTCTCCATTACCAATTAACAGCTTGTAACCAACCCCCCCAATGATGACAAACATCCATAACCCACTGAATGACCAACACCCACTCATCCACCCCCTCCCCGCTTGTCACTGTTGTATTTTTAAATTAGAGTGAGCAACTTTTATAATGGCTGTTAGCTTTTTTAAAATTCAGCCATGTCGTCTCTGATTGATCCTTATTTCTTCATCTTTAAAAATGAGAGTTATAGCTTTCTTTTAATGTTCAGAACAACAATAAAATATGTTCACCTAAGTAACTGTCTGAAGATGGGTGCGCTTATTTGGAGTGAACATTGCTTTGGAGCTATGTTGGTAATTTGTAAATTGTTGGTAAATTGTGTATATATTAAAGGATGTTGAGTCATCAGTGGTCGGGGGAAACTGAGGCAGGACAATCACTTAAGGACTCAGACTTAAAGTCCTTTTGCCTCTACCTTTTGAGTGCTTGTCAAGTCATTGCCCATTACCACCCTGAACACACTCCATGTTCTCTGAGTGCTTGTCAACTTCCTCCATGCTGTGACTACAAGTGTGGGCCATTATGCTTGGGCCAGTGAGGAGGGAACATGAACTGATTTGAACCCTAATCCTTGGCTACAAGGCTCAGTAGCAAGTGTTACTTTTGCAGGCACTTATTTAGCAGCTGCCCTGGCAGAAGTCATTTTCTGTGTGTGCTTTTCATTCTGGCAGTCTTTAGTCATAGTCTCAAGAACCTCTTTTGTTTTTTGTTTGTTTTGTTTTTTTGTTTTTCAAGACAGGGTTTCTCTGTGTAGCTTTGGAGCTTCTCCTGGCACTCTGTAGAGCAGGCTGGCCTAGAACTTACAGAGATCCACCTACCTTTGCCTCCCAAGTGTTGGGATTACAGGCGTGCCCCACCAGTACCTGGCTGTGAGATCCTCTTCTTTATAACCTAGCTTTATTTAGTGTTAGGCACTGACCAAAGCAATTCAATTTTATTTATTTATGTAGTTATTGAGGCAGGATCTCTGTGTGGCCCTGTCTGTCCTGAAATGCTCTATGTAGACCAGCGTGGCTCTATCTTCCAAGTGCTAGGGTTATAGGAATGTACCACTCACCTGGCTGTGAATCCATTTTAATTGACAACTTTATAGCTAAAGGTTACAGTATGTTATCCATCCTGTAATAGACACTCTTTGTAGAGAGGTTACCTTTCCTCGAATCTGGTATATGGAATATTTGCTTATTTTGCGACCTAGAAATTGTGAGGACTACTAATTTTACCTGGTGGACAGCTACCAAACATCTGCTATATTGGACTTCTCTTGGTCTTAGTTTGTCTGTTGCCCCACCCTCCTTTTGGGATGTTGAATGTTTGATTCATTAAAATGTGAATACAGTGTGTACTTTGAGAAAAGTTATGAAGAGGGAGCTATATTTGTGAGCACATACCCGGAATCCCAGTTACTGGGAAGGCTGGGGCAAAGGGATCATGGTCATGTTCAAGAGCAGCCTAGGCAACTTAGCAAGGTGCAGTCTGAAACAGCAGAAGCAGGGGGAGTGAGTCCCACCAACCTAATACGCAGGAGGCTCTAGAGCAGGGGTTTTCAACCTACTGGTTTCCACCCCTTTGGGGGTTGAGCAATCCTTTCACAGGGGTTGCATATCAGATACTTAGATTATGATTCTTGACAGTAGCAAATTTGCAGTTATGAAGTAGAAATGAAATAACTTTATGGTTGCGGGGGTGAGGTGGGGTGGGGTGGGGCTGTCACCACAACATGAAAAGGTGCTTGCTCCCACACCTGACAACCTAAATCAATTCTTTGGATCCACTCCAACGGAAAAGTGTCCTCTGACCTCCATACATTCTCATCCATGTGTGTGCACACATATATTACAGACACACATCACAGGTTTCAAACATTTCCTTGCCAGCTCCTTTTTATCTTAGTGTCCTTTTTTATCCATCATAGACACTTGTTAGTTCTAGACTTGGGATGAATCCTGCTTGAGAACTCGGTACAGTTGCATGACCTGGTGCACATTCACGATGAGTTCCCAGGCATAAATACTTGACAGTTCTGTTACACGTGTTCTTCATTCACCTTAATAGTTATTACAAATCTTATGTTTTCCTATGTGATGTTTCATTTTTCATTAAGAAAGTAAGAGGCAGCCAGGTAGTGGTGGCACACACTTTTAATTCCAGCACTTGGGAGGCAGAGGTAGCGTTAGAGGCCAACCTGGTCTACAAAGCAAGTTCTAGGACAGCCAGAGCTGTTAACACATAGAAACCGAGAGAGAGAGAGAGAGAGAGAGAGAGAGAGAGAGAGGGAGAAATATCACTTCTAATTTCTGCTTCAATCACTATAGACTTATAGTCTGGCTAAGTTGTGTGCATTCTCTTTATATACATATTTCTACCTCTCTGAATTTCCTAGCTAAACTAGGAAAAGTCAGGCTTTTATGTAATCATTTTCTTCACCCCTCTGAAAGGTCTATGCCTCTAAGTCTAACCCAGACCACCATGGTTGGATGCTTTCCCTTTTTCAGGAACTTGGTGCATTGTTAGTATCTTTCTCAGAACTCCAACACTCCCAGCCATGTATGGCTGCGTCCCCCCCCCAAAAAAAAGAATATTCAGGCTTTATATAATCCTACATTTGGATCAGAGTCTTTGTGGTATAAGATGATCTCTTATTCTGAGAGCTAATGCTGACAACACCATGTAATCATATGAATCATCAAAGCATGCATTCCTACTCTTACACGCTTGTAATTACTAATTCACTTGGGTTTAAATAGATAGCCAAACCATCTAAAGTTTCTACTATAACTTTGACCTGTTTTTGAACTATATAGTTCATGTGCCCACCTGATGTATAAATGAGCTTTATGGTATGTATCTCTTTAGTGACTAAGAGCTGTAATTGAGGATTTGGTAGAGTACTTGCTTATCTAGCATACATGGAATGCTGTGTTTGATCCCCAGCACCACAGAAAACCATTCATGGTGGCATGTTCTTGTAATCCCAGCACTTGGGAAATAGAGGTAGGAAGATAAGGTATTTGGTCAGCTTTGGCTTCCTGGGGGAGTTCAAACCTAGCCTGGGCTATGTAAGACTCTCTTTCAAAAACCAAACCTAAAGAAAACAAACGAAAAACTGTAACTGAAGGGAGCCAGTTGTGGTAGGTCATGCCTGTAGTCCTACCACCGCTGACTCAGGTGGATTAGAAGTATGACGCCAGCCTGGGCTACGTAATAAGATCATGTCTCAAAGAAAAAAAAAGCCCTGTATTCAGCCTGCCATTGCTTAACTCAAAATGTTCTTCATTTGTACTGATTCCCATAGGAATATTAGCTAGAGGAGGTTTAAAGTTATACCGGATATACTTGATTGTCAGTAAGTTTTAGTTATTTCAGCAGCCTGGTGCCAGGTTTATGATCCCAGCTACTTAGGAAGGAGAGGCAGAAAGGCCATAGGCTCAGAGCTAGAGTGGACAACATAGTGAGACCATGTTGCAAAATAAAAAAGAAAGCTGAGCATATAGCATGGTGTCAGAACACTTGCCTAACTGTATGAGGTCTTGGGTCAGTCCCCATGGCCTCCAAAAAATTGACTTGCTTCTGTAATTAATGTAAAGTACTTAGTTATCTGGTGGCCCCTGTGCTGAGCCGAAGCTCCTCAGCTTGCTGGAATCCCATCTTGACTCTTGCACTTTGGTTGCCTCTCTGGAAATAGACAAATGATGGTTGACATGACTGGGTATACATTAGTACCACAACATGCCAGCTATGATGGCTCACATCAGTTCTCATAGCAGTGAAAACTTGCGGTAGAAAGATAGATGTATATAAATGCAAGGCCAGCCTGAACTGCAGAGTAAGACCCTATCAGCAACAAATAGTAATCAAAGAACAAAGCCAAACAAGCAAAAAGCCCACAATGGTACGATATAAAAGTGTGAATGTTATGATATGTGAATCTTTGGGGTGGGGGGCAGTCGAGATAGGGTTTTTCTGCATAGCTCTGGCTGTCCTGGAACTCACTCCCTGCAGGTATCATACAGGGAAGTAAGAGGCCATATAAAGAGTTAAGAATGAGAACACCATGCAGATTGACTTCATCAACCTGGACCAGACTTCTCAGAGTCTTAATTCCAGGCAACAATCAGTCCAATTCCAGATGCACAATAAACCTTTAGGTGTGATGACACAGAAACTCTTTTACAAAGTGACCATGAGGGTGGGTTCTATAGCTAAAAGGCCTAGGATCTAGTGTGATCTCTGACCGATAGTATAGAGGCCATAAAGTACTTGTGAGATCTACCCTAAAGATGGGTAATGGTGTAGGGAAGGATGAGTCTCAAGTAACCATTCTGGGGCATTAGGGTGATGTCTGTCCCTTCAGATAGCAAAATGGTCAACAGATTGTTAGCAACCTCCACTCTCAGCTTTCTGGATGGAATTCAGGTATTTGGTTTGTATCTCTAAGGAGACACCCTGTGTGATTAATATTCCTAGTTCTCTGTGAGTACAAGGATCTGTGACCCCAACATATTAACCAAGCCATCATTTCCTTTTCCCACAGGATTTAAGAAGACTGAATTGTGCTGACAGTTCAAAATGGCCAAAACGATGTCTTGTGGGTCTTTGAATTTTGGAGTACTTGGGATGGATGGAAGCAGGGTCTATGTATAAGATCCACAATGCATCTTGCCTTTCCTCTGTATCACTTAGTTCCGTTCTAAAATATTGTTTGCTAATTATAGGTGCTTTATCTGTGTATCTTGAAACCCCAGTTCTATATAATAACTTTTTTCTTTTCCTTTAAGGTACTCTCCAAGTTCTTGGTTATGGAGTATCTGGCCCATCCTGGTACACTCAGCTTGGCTGCTGGAGTTGCTTGTGGCATGTGCTTGGGCTGGGGCCTCCGGGGCCACCTTGGGATGCTCCCCCAGAACTCAACAAGGGAGAAAAGTAAAGACACAGAGATGGGGACCGAAGCAAGCATCCTGGGGGAGAGTGGGGAGTACAAAATGATTCTTGTGGTTCGAACTGACCTAAAGATGGGAAAAGGGAAGGTTGCTGCCCAGTGTTCCCATGCTGCTGTTTCTGCCTACAAGCAGATTCAAAGGAGAAACCCTCAAGTGCTCAAAGAGTGGGAGTACTGTGGCCAGCCCAAAGTGGTGGTCAAAGCCCCAGATGAAGACACCCTCATTGAATTACTGACCCATGCAAAAACGTTGGGACTGACTGTAAGTTTAATTCAAGATGCTGGACGTACTCAGATTGAACCAGGCTCTCGAACTGTCCTGGGAATTGGTCCAGGACCAGTAGAACTAATCGATGAAGTTACCGGCCACCTAAAACTTTACTAGATGAGCTTTTGTGTGATGGTGATTCTGTCTGACAAGTATGAAATCTGTCAGTAACAATAAAAGCTTAATTCTTGTCCCACTTTAAAATCTGTTCCCATGTTGTTCTATCACACACTGGACCATTTTTATCTTGAGCTTAAAATACTTTTGAAGGGCTGGAGAGATGCTTCAGCAGTTAAGAGCACTCATTGCTCTTGCAGAGGACTCTTGATTCAGTTCTCATTGACCTGGATGGCAGTTCACAACCATCCATAGCTCCAGTACCAGGGAATCCAACACCCTCTTTTGATCTCATCAACCACCAGGCAAACACACCGTGCATATATACAGAGGCAAAATCACCATACACATAAATCTAAAGAATAAACGTACATGCCTTTAATCTCAGCACTTGGGAGGCAGAGGCAGGCGGATCTCTGTGAGTTTGAGGCCAACCTGGTCTACAGAGGGAGTTCCAGGATAGCCAATGTTGAGACAGAGAAAACGTGTCTCAAAAAAGAAAACAAATAATAAAACTACTCGCCAGACGTTGGTGGTATACACCGGAGGTAGAGGCAAGAGGACCCTGGTCTCCAGTTAGTTCCAGGACAGGTTCCAAAACAATACGGAGAGACCCTGTCTCGAAAAACAACAACAAAAGAATAAAACTACATTGTTTAAATGATGTTGTGGATTGATAGGTGCTGAAACAGTGATGATGTTGGGTGGAAGCCATGTTTCCCAAGTATAATTAGGCCCCAGTGTGATTGATTACTCTTCAGTCAAACCGTGCTGGCCTTTTTGAGGACCTGGTTCAAGAAATCATTGTTTTTTCCCTGCTGCTACTTTTTGAATGATAATCTTATAGACCATTGCATAGACCCACCGTGCAATCCTAATTCAGATTTTTAACTAGCTGGATGTTTTGGAGATGGGGTAACCTTGAACTTGTGGCATTTCCTCCTGCCTTCACCCCCTACATGCTGGGATTGAAAGCATGAGAAATTGTACCCAGTTATGACCTTATGTAGCATTTGATGTTTATTATTGATCCACCTGGGCTAAAGATATTTCAGTGTTTATGAAGCTATGAAAAGATTAAAAAATTCCTTCAACAGTGAAACCAGTGAGTTTGTGAACTTTATGGACTTTGAAAGTGGAAATGTGGGAATTTATGGTGACCAAAGGACTTTTATCCAACCTCTCCTGAAAATGTTAGGAGCTAACATTTTATTTCCTTAAATAATTTTATTAATTAAGGGCACTTTTTCTCACTGTGTATCCCCGACTAGCCTGGAACTTACTGTGTGGAACAGGCCGAGGACCCCTGCCTGTCTCGCAATGCTGAGACTAAAGGCTTGCACCAGCATTTCCTAGCACTATTGCTAGAGTCCGTTGTTCTTGATAGCTCCAGAAGATTGACAGTGATTTCTAAATTCATTATATCCCTGGAAACTGTGTTGGGAAGTATAAGGTCGTAAGTGGAAACTATGCAGAATGATTAAACTGCAGGCAGTTATAACGCTTGGTGCTTTTTATCATACAGAAGCATAGATGATACAGGAGCAATCAACACTGAATGATGCCACAGTAGCAACAGTTTCTAAACAGATGTTTATACAGGAGTCAGAAGTGATGCAACCACATGTAACTGAGTTGAACTCAAATCTTAAATGCATGGTTATGACTCAGGTAATTTATGAGGCTTGCTGCACACTACAGCATGACTCCACACTAACAGACTGTGTTCCCAGCAGGATGGCTGAGGTAGCTGATTCAAGGACCTGTAATAAGCCTGGGCTTACCTATAAGGACAGTGAAAACTTGTTAATTCTGATAACAAGCCAGTGTTTGTTTACCTCTTCTTGGTATGTATTTCACAGGTTCTTACCAAGTAGTCGTCAAAGCATACTCTGCAGAGCCTAAGGAGTCTTTATGTAACTATTTTCATTAACTTGAAGGGAAGGCATTTTCTTTTCTCTAGTGTGTTCCCACTGATGATGATCTATCCAAACAAATAGCTATTACAGCCTGCAAGGTCCCATGTTGATAGTAAAGTTTCATAGTTAAAAAGAGTATTTTTTTCAGCATATGTAGGGGAGGGGCTTTGAGAACTCAAGGCTGCAGGAATCATCCATTCTCCAGTAGATGGCTCAACATACATTCACACAATGCTAGCACTGATTGTTCTCACCACATTGTTGTGAAAAAGATTAACTTGGCAGGATGATGTGGTAGGATGACAGTACATTGTATACATGTATGGAATTCTCAATGAATAAGAACTATTAAAGGCATTTTTTAGCCCATAACTATTTGTGTAACAGTCTGGTTGTCTAAAAGGTTAGTGTTTAGTGCCACTTACTTGTGAACTCAGTTTCATAAGAACTGAAATAAGAGGCTAGGGAGATGGCTCTGCGGTTAAAAGATGGTTCAATTCTTGCAGAGAACCCATGTTTAGTTTCTGGCTCACAATGACCTTTTTCAGAGGACCCAACACCTTTTTGTGGCATCCATGGGTACCCACACTCAAGTTAACATACTACATAGACAAGCACACATACATATAATTAAAAATAAAACCTTATGAAAATAAAATTAGTGCTATTGAATTGGCTCAGTGGATACCCGAGTTTGATCAATGGAACCCACAAAGCTGCCCTCTCATGCTACAACACTACCATGGCAATAAATATACTTTAAAAACCCAACTAAACCAAAAAGTAGCTAGGTGTGGTGGCTCATTTATGTAATCCCTGCACTTTGAAGGCTGAGCCCAGGGAATTTCTGGATGTTCCAGGTTAACAGTGAAATTCTTGTCTGTAGAACAAGACAAAAAAGGACTATTTTGCCCCAAACCCAAGTGTGTGGCAGACATGTCCCCCAAAACTAAGTGCACCAGCTACTTCAATAAAAACAACTGGAAGAAGTTTGGAGAATGTTTTCAGCCTCTCCCACACATCAGTGTTTGGGGGCTGCAGCACCTGCAATGTGCTGGAACCAAACATAGCAGTACAACAGAAACAAACAGCAGTGCTAGTGATGGCACTTCAGGCTTCACATGCTAGGCAAGCACTCCATTGTTCCATATGCATGTTTTCTGTATCAATATACAAAGTTTTTGTTTTGTTTTTTACTGTCACTGACCAACTAAACTCCAGTAGTTTGGCAGACAAGGATGAAATGCTGGCTGCACTAGAGAAAGACCAAGAAGTGCTACTTGCTGTTGCCCTAATATGGCCGTAATTAAATAGTTGTTAACCGCTAGCACAGATTTGTTCACGCAGTGGTTATTTTTATATATCACAAGATCAGATAGCTTGTCATATGAATTTCTCATTAGCCTCCCTCTTCCATTTCCTCCTACTTCAAGCAACAGTAAGAACTATTTAGTACAGTTTTCAGTTTCTTAGTCTAGAACCTACCCCAGTGATAAATTCTAGAGTAATGTTAGTGAAGATCCATACATCATGGTACACATACCACAGCTCAATCCTTAGCTGGCCATTTTATCATTTGAAGATAACCTGACAGGTGCAGCATACTTATAATCCCCACTGCAGGAGGCTGGGGAAAAAGAGGATCTCAAGTTCAGCCTGACTGAATCAAAAACCTGATAGGGTAAGCCAGGCGTTGGTGGTGCACACCTTTAATCCCAGCAGTCAGGAGGCAGAGGCAGGCGGATCTCTGTGAGTTCGAGGCCAGCCTGGTCTCCAGAGCGAGTGCCAGGATAGACTCCAAAGCTACACAGTGAAACCCTGCCTCAAAAAACAAAAACAACACCACCAAAAAACCGATAGGGTGGAGAGAATGTACAACAATTAAGAGAAATGGAGCCAGGTTTAGTTCCCAATACCCACATGGTAACCCCAGTTCCAGGGGTTCCAATGCCCTCTTCTGGCCTGCTGGATCATCAGGCACAAATATGGTACACAAACATACATGAAGTCAAAATATCCAAACACATAAAATCTGCCTAGTAATTCTGCACAGCACTTGGTGTACAGAGAAGAAAACACCATCAGCAGCGTGCTGACTATCTGGCACATCCTCAGGTTTGTTTTTTGCATTGCCCAATGTGGATGGTTTAAATGGCAACTCGACTTCACAGGACAACAGTATATGATTGAAACAGTGAATTTTTGTTGGGGATAAAATCCTCAATGAAACATTAAGAAAATAAATGAGGTCTGGAGAATGGCTCAGTGTTTAAGAGCACTGACTGCTTTTTTAGAGAACCCAGGTTCAATTCCTAGCATCCACAGGGTAACAGGGGATCTGAGCCCCTCTTCTGGCTTCTGAGGGCACTGTGTGTACATGGTACACAGACATACATATAGGCAGAAGACTCATACACATAAAATATAAATATGTTATTTCAAATTGCTTCTACTAAGGAAAGGAAAAGATAGCATATTTCACAAGTTCAGGAAAAATCAAGAACAATGTGATATATTTCTTGATTCCTTATGATGAGGGGTAGGTGGAGATCTGGGAACACAGTGTAGCTTTGGCCTCAACAGCCCACATTTTCACTATGACAAACCAACATGACTTTCTCATTAATACTAATTTACTATGGGTATGTGTGTGTTTTGAAGCTTTTCAAAAAAAGAAAGAAAGAAAGAAAGAAAGAAAGAAAGAAAGAAAGAAAGAAAAAAAGCTTTCTGTGAAGCTTAGGTAATGTGCCTGAGAGTTATAGAGCAACCAATATAAGCTAGGCAGTAAGCTATGCAACTAGAAAATTAAGTCACAATGAAATAAATTCAATATTCTTAGTCATGGCAAAAGATTTAAACTTGGTACACTTTAAGCTCATGATAAGAAATGCCATGCTGACTGCTTTTTAAAATACATCTTTATTTCAAGTTAATGTAACATGATTTAGTTAGGTGAAAATTCTAAAACCTGAAGTGCTACTTGGTCAAAATATTGGAAACATGAGAAGGAGCCCACTGTTAATTTAGTAACTGCCTTTAAGATTGCTGCATATACTTTAAGTATAAATATGCAAATGACATAATGCATGTCTTTGTCATAATTACCCTTTATGCCTCCCTTTAATGCTCTAGCAGTATCTAGTATGAAACTATGAAAACCACCATTCTTCTGGTTTGAGATGTATTTAATTAAAACTGCAATTCTACATGTTATTTCCACAGTCCAGTAATTTATTTTAAATTGGAGTAATTTCAAATTCCACAAACAAAACTGAAGAACAACAATATTTTGTTTGAATTCTCTCTTCTGTACACTCAGTGATCTAAAACACCACAATATCCAACATAAACCTCAGGGAAGGGTTAGTAAATACATACGTGTGGAATCATGGTGCTCTTTGTTCCTGAATGGAATGGTCCCACAGAAAAAGCACAGGATACAGCACAACATGAGGGCATCTGTTACACATGAAGTGAGCAAAACACACTAGCATTTTCTATATGCGCAATGGGGAAACCTGCATAGGTTAAAGGGCCTTTTATGCTCATTTAAAAATCAGGCAAGTTGTCTGTATGCATTTTTCAAATAATTTGGAGAGCGCTGTGATCCAATGTAGAATATGCTGATTAGTGTTGTCTTTGTTGGCATTGACAGTCTTGCATGGTCACATACCAGTATTTTCACTTTAGCTTTTCTTTGAATAAAAGAGATTTAAATGCATTTAGACAATACATACTGAAAGCTGTTTACATACACTAAATTTAAGAGATTCAATATTAGAGTTTCTTTGTTTCTTTAAACACTACAGAGTGCAAATCAGGTTCTTCACAATAGATTGAATAGTAAGCAGTTCTTCAAAGAATGAGGGGGAAGAAAAAAGCCCACATGAATACTATTCCCCTTTGAAAAGAAGTTCTAATGATGCGGAATGTGAAAATAAGGTTTTAATATAGACGATCCAAGTCTATAGTTAGAAACAAAAAAGTAGTCCTTCATGAAATAAAGGTTACAAGAACACATGGCCGGTTTCCCCGTTTATAAACTGAGAGGTGGGTAGACGATGCTTCAGTATGAAAACAGAGACGACAGCATCAGCTTCCATTTCACATGCTGTACCCAAAGCCAGGCTGTGGCTGCCCATATGGTGGTGCAGTGTAACCATAACCAAAAGGTGCCTGGGGAGGGACTGCCACACTGGGTCCTGCTGTTAGCATCAGCTGGGGCTGACCTAAAGGTGACAAAGAGGAAGAGAATCTGTTAGCACCCGGGTTTAGCACTATTATCTTCCCCACTCTAGCAGCGCAATCACAATTCACTAAGTTGTGTGGGGCACTTTTGACTGTCCCAGTTTGGAACAGTCTTGCCCTGAGAAGGTTCCTGCCTAAAAAAAGCCAATGATGCAGAATTCAGGACCACAACATCCTATATTTAAAGCAGTAACACATGCACATTTGACATTATCAGGCCATACATCTGCCAACAAGCCTTTCACATTACTTTTAGTGACTAAAATTTTAGCACAGGAAAACTTTACAAGTTGTTAAAGTTAATTTAAATCTCTGATTTTAAACATCTGGATGGTAATGAAACCTAGTATGTTCTAGCAGAGAATCCAGCGCTAATTTAGCGACAGCAATAGAAAAGACACATTCAAATATGCACTAAATATGCAATGCATTAGGTATGAAAAACATGGGAACGTATATACCTTCTATCAAATACTTGCTGATGAAGCTGAAATAGTTGTTGACCACATAAAGAAAACATGACATGTAAAGAACTTTTAGAGAGAGAAACACAATACCTCCCTAGCCCTCCAAATTATCTCCTGCTAGAATGTAAGCTATCTTTCTCCCAGAACAGACTCCTGTGTCCCCTTCTTGTAATACAACCAAAATTGTCTTTAGGAAGCAAGTGTTTTTGGAAACCGATTTACCAAAGAATCACCTTTGGATTATCTTGAAAATTCTAACCCTAGTTCAACCTACTTAAAACACCATGAAGGCCCAGCAGTCTATGGATGCCTACTAAATAACCACTATCATTTTTTTTGTTTCCTATTTCAAATATGTCAAACCTCATGTAACATTTTAGGTCTACCCAGTCCTTCATCAAAACTACCCCGTCCCCTAAATTCCTCTAAACTGTTTATCAATAATAATGATAATAATAATGATGATGATTCCCTAAACTGCCTGAGACAAAATGGTCATAATTTTATACTTCCTTCCAAAAAACTTTTAAGCATACTTCTTTTAATCATTCAACCCACACAGGCTAGTAGAAGAGGATGACAAACTGCTTTAAATAATTACTTTAGGGTTTGGATGTACTATATCTCTGGAAAGGTCTCAAATTGAAACTCAAACCCCATGGTTTTTTTTTTTTTTTTTTTTTTTTTTTTTTTTTTTTCCAAAACACAGTTTTTTTTTGGGGT